CAGCTCCCCACGCAGCTCCCTCCCTCTCTCTCTCTCTCTCTCTCTCTCACACACACACACACACACACACACACACACACACACACACTCAATCAATCAATCAATCAATCAATCAATCAAACCTTTTTTTTTTCAAGTTTTTTGTTTATTTATTTTTAAATTTTGTATCTTTATTTTTCTAAAACACCTCCTACCCCTGCAAAAAACAGAAAAAAAATACAGGTGACCTCACGGACCATATATCAAATGATAAAAAATGAAAAAAAAAAAATCCAACTTTTCTTTATATATATATTTTTAATTTTTTTTAAATCGAACTTAGTTTTTTATTTTTTTTAAATCCGAAACAAAGTCGGATTCCAAAAAACAAAAAATGGGGTTGTAAGGCTTGAAATTCCCTACAACCCCATATATATATATATATGTATATATATATATATATATATATATATATATATATATATTTTAGCCTATTATTTAATTCAGGAAAATTCTGGTAAAATCGGGTCCGCGGCGCGGACCAGGTAGGCCGCGGATGCGGACCCGTCTGCATCCGCCATCCGAGATTGGACCCGCGGACGCGTCCGCGGGTGTTACATAGTATTAGAGACGATGGTTTTCATAAATCCGTACCCGGAAACCCATCGCATCTGAAACTTCTGAATGACGAGTTTCGTTATAGCCTCTGACGGTAAAGGAATGAATATTGCATACTTCGAGAATCTGTCGACAATGACCGTTATTTGGCTATTCCCATTTCGACTCTTGGTGAGACTCATGAAGTCAATTCAGATAGACTCACCTGGTTCACTCGGAATAGGTAATGGTCGCAGTACAATGGATTCTCATTGGAGGATTTGTTCCTCTGACAAGTTCGCACATAGGTTAGCACATCCTCTTTCATTCCTTTCCATTTAAAATACTTTTTTACATTGGCAAGCGTCTTTTTAAACCCGAAGTGACCCTTAGTATCATGACATTCCCCCATAATCGTACTTTTAATATCTTCTTTGTGAGGAATGCAAATTATTTCTTCGCTTTGATCAAGGAAGAAGAGTAAGTCGTCAGTCATTTGGTATTCAGGAAAGAATTTAGGATCCTTCTGAAGGGTTTGGATGATACTGTTCCAAATTGGATCACCGACATACCCTTTACAAATTTGGTCCTCTAACTCATTCCGAATGTCAAGGTAGGTGACAATCATACCAAAGAAATCAGATCGCCGCCTGGACAAGGCATCAACAACACCATTAGATTCTCCTATTATAGTTCTCAACTCAAAATCAACTGTGTCAATAAATGCAGATCATCTTACTAGCTTGTCGGAGAGTCGAGGTTGAGTCTTGATCCACTTCACGATTGAGTGATCTGAGTAAACAGTGAAGTGTCGTCCGAGCAAGTACTGTTTCCAAGTGTCAATTGCTTCTACTAAGGCATAAAATTCCCTTTCGTATGTGGAGTTAGTTACCTTATCAGATGGAAGGCGTTTACACATGAACTCGATGGGTCTATAGTTTTTCCCGTCATCCTGTTGTAGCATAGCCCCAATCCCATATAGACTAGCATCCGTTGTGACAATAAATGGAAGTGATGGATCAACAATCTTTAAGACAAGGTAGTGAGTTAGCGTGTGTTTATGCTTCTTAAACGAAAACTCACAATCTTTGTCTCATAACCACAATTTTTTTTTCTTGAACAATCTTCTCATGGGTGCAGCTATAAGGGAGAAGTTTCTCACGAACTTCCTGTAATAGTTACCAAGTCCTAAGAAAGATTGCAGCTCAATGACAGTATTAAATCCGGGTCAATCTCTAATTGCAGTGATCTTCTTTTCTTCGGGTCTTAGTCCTTCTTCATTCACTATGTGTCTAACATAAAGTGTACCTCAGACTTAGCAAATTCTGATTTCTTAGGATTTAGATTGTAGTTACATTCTTGTAGCTTTCCTAAAACCATTTGTAGGTGTTTCTCATGGTCTTCCAACGTCTTACTATAGACGATGATATCATCGAGATACACCACTACGAATTGATCTAGTCACTGCCTAAAAAATTCGTTCATTGATCTCTGAAAGGTTGTGGGGGCATTAGTCAATCCAAAATGCATGACAACAAACTCGTAGTGTCGTCTTGTGCTGATCTTCGGGTGCCACCTCGATCTGGTGGTATCCTGACTTCAGATCAATCTTACTGAAGTACTTGCAACCCTGCAGTTGATCGAGAAGATCATCAATACGAGGAAGTGGTTCCACATTCTTGATAGTCACGGAATTCAGTCATCGGTAGTCAATGCACAATCTTTCTCCTTCCTTTTTCGGTACGAATAAGACAGGGGCACCGTAGGGAGAGGAACTTGGTCGGATCCATCCTTTTTCAGTAAGTTTTTGCAGTTGCTTATTCAACTCTTTCAATTCCCCCGGGGACATTCGATAGATCGGTCCTCTGAGAATCTTACTTTCAGAAATGATTTCAATTGTGTGCTTTATACCACCATCAGTTACTCTCGTTGGTTCAGTCTGCAAGTCCTTATGTTCATTAAATAGTTTGTCAATAGAAGGTGAATAGGACGAAGAACATTCACCTACTTGTTTGATGAGTACCATCATTACATCCTGTCCCAACTTCTTTTTCATTACCGTACTTCGAAAGGCAAGTAAACTCATACAACAGAAAGACAATGATGAGTCAAAACCAGAATAATGACACAATTTAATCGACTCCATTTTGGATTTTTCATCCTTCAGTTTGACAATATTGTCTTTGAACTTGACTTCTCGCTCAGCCTCCTCATGCCAATCCATTCTCAGAATCATATCAAAAGGCATATTATTTTCTATGAGGAAGGTTACTTCATGCAATATTATTTTCCTTTCATTAGTTTGAAAATAACACTTCACACGATCAACAAACTAAGAGACAATGATCATGTTCTTATCAGCAAGCATAGACGTAATCCGTATCGGAAGGTCGAGCACTTTCATTCCCAGATACAACTTATGAATTGCCTTTTCTAAGATCTAGGATCGCATTGAACATGGATCTAGCAATGCACCTATTCGAATGCGCACAATCTATACGTGAACGGTCATCAATTCACCCTTAGACTTAGCTTTCTTTGCCTATGAACTTCGTAAAGCTATCAATTCATCAAGGGTATCACCAGTGAGACAGAACAAAAAACTTTTTCAGGGTGTTCTGGGTGACGGGCCGAAGAAGAGCTATCCTCTGCCTTGCGAGTCGGCGGGTTGAAAGGGGTTGTAGACGCCTTACCTTTGACTAAACCCTCCAACTCAGTATGTTCCGAAAGAACCCGAGAAGGAAGCTTGAAAGAAAGAAGAAGGGGAAAGACCGAAAAGAGAAGAAAAAGTGAAAATGAAGTTGCCTTTCGCCTATAACGGTAAAAGAGGAGAGTATTTATTGTTATGGACTATCGAGATCCAGACCTATTGTAGAACCACTTCGGTGGCAGAGAACAATCAAGTTGCCTTCTCCACCTCTTGTCTGGGATAAGTGGCAAAGGAGTGGCTATTGTCTGAGGCTAATGTCGCTGGCTTTGAAGACATCGGTGAGTGGGCGAAAACCATGACCCTGCGAGAATTTCTCCAAAAAATCAAGGAGAGATTCCTCAACAAGACGACGACCGACAAGGCCGTTGATGAACTCACCACGATTAGCCAAAAGAGTTGGTCCACTGTCGATGCTCTATCGCATGAAGTTGATCATCTCTTGCAGTTACCTGGACTGAATCTACAAGACAACCAGGTTCTGTACATCTATTTGCGCGCTCTGCCTAAGCCCATACGTAGACAACTTGTGGCAGAGGCAAAGTCAGGGAAGTACAACTACCGACAATTTCGGGATCTTGCTCTCCAGAGGGAGCAGATGACTGCGCAGGTAAAGGGAACCTACGCCAACGTTGTGAGAGGTGGACCAACAGGTAGTTATGGGAATGGGAAAAGAGTCATGTGGTGGAAGAAGTGTCAGGACCACACTCTTGTCGTCTTCGATGACAAGACTGATGAGAGATTGCACCTCGAAGAGGCAGAGGGTGAAGCAAGTGGTGGTTGTGAGTCTGGAAAGGGTGACGTCACCGCCATGGTGGCCAACAAGGGTGGCACCAATCGAAATGGTGGATATAGGAAGAAGAGGCCACACTCCTTCCCGGAGCATCCTGGCATTGCGTCAGCTCGACCATGGAAAAAGATGGGCCTCACCCAGACGGAATCCCTTTCACTAATCTCATCACCGTCCGCAATTCTATGGTGACGTGGTCAATCTTTATCTATAGGTGTACTAGGTAGGCCATCATGTTCTGCAAAACAGACGCCATATCGGTTTCTGATCCCTCAATATGAAATTTGTGCTTGATTTCTTCTACCTTTCTTGTCGGTTGTTCCTGTTCTCTTTTCTGCCTCTGGTAATCTTCTTTCTTCTTCATTTCTGTGTCTAACCCAGCTTGCAACTATTTGATTGCGCCATCCATTATTTCCTTGGTCGGTTAAGGTTCTTCCTTCCTCTCACTTCCTTCTCCTTTCTCTTCTTTTTTGTCCACATCACCAGCTATCTTCGCCAACCGCTCAGCAACGAGTTGATTGAGCGCCATTCGTCCTCGATCAATCATTTGTTGCACTCTCTCGCTGGTTTCCAGCATCTGAACGACAATTTCAGCCCTCGTAAGTTTGTCTTCTGCCGCACGTAGATCGAACTGGCTGCAAACATCCCGCTCAGCTTTTGGCCCGGCATCGTGCAATTCGGTAAGCAGCTGCTGACATCTTCCTTCAACTTGACCACAGGTTCGCATTTCACCACCTTTCTAGTTAGCGAAGAAGGTAATCGAGAGAGGTGTGATGACCCGTCCAAACATGGACTGAAACACACGACTGATTTCTGAGTTTTGCCCATAGACCGAATGCCTTGCTGAGTTTCCCGCCTGCTACTAAGTCTGTGTGTGCACGCTTGCTGGACTGCATGTCCGTCTGAGTGCGGGTTGGCTTGAGTGTGTGTGTGGCCATGCCTGTCTGAGTGCCTGGTTGGCTTGAGTGTGTGTGTGGCCCGCAAGGGCACTTGCTCGTTCATTAGACCCTCAGGGCGGTACTTACCTGTGGCCGTGACATTGAGGGATTGCAACGGGAAAAACACTCAAGTAGCGGGTAGGCCGGTACCGCACCTTGAAGAGGTAGATGTGCGGGTACTGGAGGCCGAGCAGAAGAAGACAAAAGTGGCATTTTTAGAGGCCCGGTAGTTGTAGGTTAGGTCTAGGCGGATACCAGTCCAACCAGTCTGGGTCTAAGGCCTGTACGGCCAATCTCAGAGTCTGCAATGATGTTTCCCTCC